ATTCATGACTCGGGGACGTGGTGTCTATCACCGCTGGAGGTCAGTGGGGCAAATTGTTAGTTTTCGCCTGACGGCTTGAGCTATGGGGAACTCTTCGCGATTGGGCAGTTAGATTGAGACTTTTATTCCACTGCCAAGCGTTCACAGGACGCCAGGCGCCTCTGTTATCTGGGATCACTGGACGTTGACAGATAGCATTCCAGTTGGGTGTATGTGGCGGGTGAGGATCAGACGCTCGCTGACCCGAATGAAGCCAGGGGGTAGCCTAGCATATACTGCATGGTGTGTTTACCTATTGTTTTTTCCGAGAAGCGACGTGTAGCCGCAAGTCTTAAGTGTGTTTTCCGGACACGGGAATGCGGAGGCACATCCAGCAGCAGTGCTGCCATGACCCTTAACAACCACAATAAAAATCGGAGCAGGTCAGACTCCGCACCATTGGGTACAGGCTGCAGAAACTTCGTTCTAGAAGGGATATATGTAAGTCGGGTTTGGAAATACGGTTGTGGACGAGCGGAATAGGTTGTCACTGTTAGGTTAAGTCCAGTTGATTGCGCCCCGTACCTGGTTAAGTGATTATGCGGATAATACAGGAAGCCTTTTGAAATAATGGAGGTACTCACTAGCCTAGTGCGAGGCTGATCGCGTGTTCACCCATCCAGTTACTGGGAGTAAACAATCAGAGTTAAACTGAGTGATATACCACTTTTGCGTCACGGAAGTCGTCCATTCACGTGAATTTGTGTAATTGTGCCGTCGAAGACACTAACATTAGACATCTAACCCACAAATATGAAAACAAAGGAAGAGACGTTTCAGTCCGTCCTGAACCATTAAGTCGTATGAAGACTACTACAGGACTTGATAATGGTCCGAGACGGACCGAAATGTCGCCCTTATCTTCAGATGTGTGGGCTGGGTGTCTAATTTTCAGCCTCGTTATTGTGATGCTCTCCAATAATAATTATATTTAAAATTACAGAAGATCTGATTACAGTAATTAGTAGGTATTTGTAATTTTACGAAGCCAGTAATTACGTGCAAAGGTGTTCAAAATTATTGATTTGTTAATAAATAGTTTGCAAATTAACATATGGCCGCCCACTACATGGGTGGAGAGAGCGTGATTAAAAATACATATAACCTGGGCCAGGCTTCATTAGACATTTACGCAACCACTTGCGAAACCTGTACATCTTTCCTTAATCATAGCGGCTTTGTTTACATTTAATAGTTTTTAAAAGCTTGGGAACTTCACAAGCCAAGCAACTTCAGGGTGAGACAGAAGAAATGGTTGGGCACGTTTCTTTTCACCTAATGCTCCTGTTCACCTAGCACTAAACAGGTACCCTGGTGTTCGATAACTGTTGTGGGGGTTGCATTCTTGGAGATCGCTACTGACCTTTCCAAGAATGCAGCTCCCACAACAGTTATCCAATGTTGAATTTCTACTACCACAGGATGAACTGCATTAAAGGACTCCAATGCCATGAGGTCACTGCGAGAGTCGAGCTACAGATTGACAGCCAGAAAGCACTTGAAGAGCATACAAAATAGCATAAAGTTAACAAATCCACAAGAGCCGTGACGAGGATTCGCACCTACGTCCGAGATAATCCCAGACGCTGCCTTAATCGACTGAGCTGAGACTTAACGATGGTAAAAGTCGTTCATTGTTCATTGATGCATCACGCTATTGTGATTTGTGTGTGTGTAGTATAAAGTTCTGCCGCGAAGATGCTAGTCTCCGAAGGCAGGAGACATGATTTAGACCGCTCTTCACTGATGGGTCAAGTCTGCAGATGGTGTAGGCTACTTCAAACTCATAAGAAACCCCTTGAGTTGTTTACTAGAATTTAAGAACATTGTAAATATTGTTTTGATATTTCACTTTCTTACAGTGAAAAAGACTTTAGAATCCAAGTAGCACCACGAATTGATTCCTGCTGCTTTTTCGACTCGCCCCATTTCCAAATCGTTCCTAGCTTCATCCTATCCCAAGCTGCTTAGCCTAAGTCGCCCGGAAGAGCGTGGTGAGCTGAGGTGAAAGGGGCCAATTGGAAATAAGGCGACTCATCCTGATGTTCTCTGCCACCAGTGGTGGAAGAATGATATGAGAAGCCTCTGCCCGGAACTGATCATGTGAGCACTTGTGTAAATTGGCTGATTCAGACGGTCTTCTATATTTTAAAAATTAAACTTAAAATAACAATAACACTGAAGGCTCTTACAATACATTACTTTTTAATTATGTTTAAGAGAATTTTTCTTGTATAATTTCGTCCGAATGATTTCATTAGGCTGTAGATTGTAATGGCTGAATGGATCCATTGTACTTTTACGCCGAATTATTTTTCAAGTTTTGTTCAAGCTTGTTATATTCTTCCAGTCCTGTCTGAAAGCAACGTCGTCAAATTCCAGCAGCTGCATGGCGGTCACTTGGGAGCACTGTCAGGCCTCGGGGCAACAGGTTACACTGCCCTTAAATGTACGTGCAAAGAGCTGTCAAGTCCATGATCGTAGACCCACTGGTCAAAGTTATTTTCTGTCTTTATTCTCTTGCCATTTAGCAAGATGAGGAACTATAATCATGTGTATCTTGAGTTCCAAACTTTTTTGAAATGTAGCTAGCTTACTAGTAGCCATTATGACATGGATATATATTAACAATACAACAAGGTTTATACATTATACAGATACATACACTCCCTGCTGCATGGCGCCAGTGTGTGGATGTCACATACATCCACACTGATAGCATTAATATAACCATCACTAAAATACAGAAAATCAGTCCCAAAACGTGTATGATGAGGCTTGACAGTTGGTGTAATAAAGTTACCTGGCCAGGTTCATGGTTCAAGGAAGTGGAGTCTTATTAAGGCCCTCGGGATTTGCTGGTGTAAAACATATGGACCAACATTGCCAAGTACTATGTAGAAATATAATAGTAGCTACGAATATGTTGTCAAATAGGAAATTAACCCTGTTTCAGAAGGCTGTAGTAATTGCAAAAATTTTGTCTAAAGTGTGGTATTTGTCTCATTTTTTCCAATTGACAAGACAATTGCTATGGAGATTGACAAAACTATTTTTAGATATGGTATGGTATTTAGTTGGCATGGTAGATACCAACCAATTAAATGGACTACACTATGTAAAGATAAGAAAAACTATGGAATAGGGAGACTGTGTACCATAAGTCATTGGCTATCTTATGTGTTACCTTTAGAAAGAAAAAATAAAGGAATAGTGTAAATGCGTTAGGATATTTTTGTAAAATAGGTTGTTATTGTTATAGATTCAGCTACTCTGAACAAGTTCCAAGTAGCACGGGCTATGGTGAGCCCGTAGTGGACTTACCCGTCACAGGAGCTGTACCGAGTGTAAAATAGGTGTTAAGTACTGGTACATATACCAGAGTATACTGACCTTGCCTATATTTCACCTTTCTTGCGAAGCAGGATCAAGTATTGCAGTCCCTATGGCATAGTGGTAAGAAACTCGCCTGGCGTTCCGCGAACGCTTTGTCCTGGGTTCGTATCCAGGCCGGGGAGGATTGACTGGGCGCCAATCCTTAACTGTAGCCTCTGTTCACCCAACATTAAAATGGGTACCTGGTTGTTAAACGATTTGGCGGGTCGTATTCCAGGGAACATTAGGCTCAAGGACCTGCCCGAAACGCTATGAGTGCTAGTGACTGTACAAGAACGCAATAACTCTTGTATATATAAATTAAAAAATAAAATAACATCATTTGGGGTTTACGGTTCATGCTCGGTGATATGGAAAATTGGTTTACCGAGAATTATATAAAATATATATAAATGTAGTATTTTCCCTTGTAAATTGATGTAAATATGTTCTTTATATTGTATATTATTTAATAAAGAAAAATCAGACCAGATTCAAATCCAAGTCTTTTTAAGGCGTTAGAGTAAGTCATTAATTTTCTACTTGCAGTTTATATTCGTTTAAGTAAAAAACTTTATACAAGACAAAATTGTTTTAAAAAAAAGGTAGACATTCACGCTCTTAAAGTATTTAAGTAACTTTTTGGTCATTTATCGCATCAGCAATACATACGACTGTATTCTGAAGCCATCTACTGGTCTATATAATTTATCAAAATTTAACATTAGTAAATGATACGAGTCTGATTTATTTTGACTACTAAAATAAAATGCTGAATATAATCTGGCCCCTGGAGGTGTTACCATAAAGACTTCTGAATATATTTCACATATTCAAATTGCATATTTTCCATTGAGCATTCTCTCCCATGGATTAGAAAAGTTGCGAGCGCGCGCACACACACACATTACCTATTCCCTACGTTCTTATATATAAACAATATTCCACCGAGATCTTTCCCACGTGTTGGCTGTTTAAATTAACCTACTCTACAGCAAGTTATCCAATACCCAAGCCTAACCAAACTTAGTTTTACCACCAAGTTAAGTCAGACGTAACCTAGCAAATCTTTGAACCCCCCTCCCCTCCCCCCTGTCTAACTTACCCTTAACCTAATCAATCCTGGCCTAACCTAGCAAACCCCTGGTAAACATTACAAAAAGCATTTAGAGACAGTTTGTAATTTTTCTAAGCATAGTTTTGCACAATATTAGAACATCATGACTCCATGTTGTGTCGATTCATCAAAGACAGTTTTCCTCTGAAGGAAGCCTACACCGGAATATAATGGTCTGCAACCCAGACCTTAACTTGCTGTTAAGGTCCGAACTTAAGCTCTAAAATACTTGAAGTTTAACCAGTTCTAAAGGCGTGAACGCCATAAACACGTGATAGGCAGTTACCAAGAACAACGGCCATGAATAATACACTTTAAGATGTGCAAAGGAAACTGCACAAAGGAGCCCCCATGACATACCCTCCCTCCGCATAGATGTAAATGATCAACACATATTACTAACGAACCAATCAGAACACAACATACATATACCAAAGGAAAGAAAAGGAATATATCATAATGGACTTACCTCCCACGGCGGCTTCAACAGCACACGCGGACTCGTTAGCTGATGTACCAGTGCCATTGGCTTGAGGTCTAACAACCTCTGGCACAGCTATAAAGGCCTTCGCGATAGCCATTCTGCAAGTATGGATATCGGGAAGTCCTGAACGTAGTCCAGGACTCAATGGAACCTAGTCCTGCAAGTCCTGAACGTAGTCCAGGACTCAATGGAACCTAGTCCTGCAAGTCCTGAACGTAGTCCAGGACTCAATGGAACGTAGTCCTGCAAGTTCTGAACGTAGTTTAGGACTTTAATAAATGATCGATGAAGATTTGGTCTCCCAAGAGGTGTCACGGGCATGAATGACCCTTGAGTCGTAGATTTGATTTGACTTTCTCCTACAAAAGCGAAAAAGTCAACGTCCGTTGTTGTTGTAGATTCAGCTCCTCGGAACATAACATTCCAAGTAGCACAGGCTATGGCGAGCCCGTGGTATACAGTCAACGTCCTGTAACCACTGTATATATATACACCCACAAACATAATACACCTCACTGTGTATATAAACCTGGCCATGGGTGTCACCACAGACATAATACACATTAACACTGTTGTCTCCCGCGACCCGCCGCCAAACTACCTCCCTTAACCACTTGGAGACAGCGGTCACTAACCACAGGTCACCCCGACTAACCTGGAATTACCCGTCGCGGCCACGCGTACCCACACCACCACTCACAAACTACTCACAATCCACTTTACTAACACCAAACCATCTTGAATTGATGACAAGATTTTTCAGTTTATATTGGCTGACAACTTCTCATCCTTTTTAGTTCTGAAATAAACACGTGAAAAATATAATAAGAGGATATTTGGCACCAGCAGATGGCGTCACCAAACAAAATGTCAACATTCGTACCCATAAAGGAGTTTGAGGCTTTTATTAATTTGGTCATTTATCGCATCTGAAATACACACGATTGTATTCTGAATCCAGCTTAGTAACGTCAACTGATGTCACGATTACTTTTTATAATTGAATATTAATAAATGACCTCATTCGTATTGATTTTGCGAAAATTCTTGTGTCCATTTTCATCAATCCTAAAATAAAATATAGAATCTCGTTCCTGATAGTGTTACCATAAAGGGTTCGGAATGTGTATAACACCTCACTGATACTTGTGTAATTATAAAAACTACATAAACTTAAATTATACAGCATGTATAAATCTATATATATATATATATATATATATATATATATATATATATATATATATATATATATATATATATATATATATATATATATGTCGTACCTAATAGCCAGAACGCACTTCTCAGCCTACTATTCAAGGCCCGATTTGCCTAATAAGCCAGGTTTTCATGAATTAATGTTTTTTCGTCTACCTAACCTACCTAACCTAACCTAACCTAGCTTTTTTTGGCTACCTAACCTAACCTTACCTATAAATATAGGTTAGGTTAGGTTAGGTAGGGTTGGTTAGGTTCGGTCATATATCTACGTTAATTTTAACTCCAATAAAAAAAATTGACCTCATACATCGAGAAAAGGGTTGCTTTATCATTTCATAAGAAAAAAATTATAGTAAATATATTAATTCAGGAAAACTTGGCTTATTAGGCAAATCGGGCCTTGAATAGTAGGCTGAGAAGTGAGTTCTGGCTACTAGGTACGACATATATATATATATATATATATATATATATATATATATACATATATATATATATGTCGTACCTAGTAGCCAGAACGCACTTCTCAGCATACTATGCAAGGCCCAATTTGCCTAATAAGCCAAGTTTTCATGAATTAATTGTGTTTCGACTACCTAACCTACCTAACCTAACCTAACCTAACATTTTCGGCTACCTAACCTACCCTAACCTATAAAGATAGGTTAGGTTAGGTTAGGTAGGGTTGGTTAGGTTCGGTCATATATCTACGTTAATTTTAACTCCAATAAAAAAAATTGAACTCATACATAATGAAATGAGTAGCTTTATCATTTGATAAGAAAAAAAATATAGAAAATATATTAATTCAGGAAAACTTGGCTTATTAGGCAAATCGGGCCTTGCATAGTAGGCTGAGAAGTGCGTTCTGGCTATTAGGTACGACATATATATATATATATATATATATATATATGTCGTACCTAGTAGCCAGAACGCACTTCTCTGCCTACTTTGCATGGCCCGATTTGCCTAATAAGCCAAGTTTTCCTGAATTAATCGTTTTTCGACGACCTAACCTACCTAACCTAACCTAACCTAACTTTTTCGGCTACCTAACCTAACCTAACCTATAAAGATAGATTAGGTTAGGTTAGGTAGGGTTGGTTAGGTTTGGTCATATATCTATGTTAATTTTAACTGCAATAAAAAAAAATTGACCTTATACATAATGAAATGGGTAGCTTTATCCTTTCATAAGAAAAAATTTTGAAAAAATATATTAATTCAGGAAAACTTGGCTTATTAGGCAAATCGGGCCTTGCATAGTAGGCTGAGAAGTGCGTTCTGGCTACTAGGTACGACATATATATATATATATATATATATATATATATATATATATATATATATGTCGTACCTAATAGCCAGAACGCACTTCTCAGCCTACTATTCAAGGCCCGATTTGCCTAATAAGCCAAGTTTTCATGAA